GATTTATGCTCCCGCTTTTCAATTTTACAAACATAAAAATTAATTGAAAATAATTAGTATAATATTTTTTCAAATAATGATAATAAACAATAAGTATAATTAAAAAAGTATAACAAAATTACTTTATAACGAAAAATCGCACGAACTTCTAAATCAAATACGAGAAGATTGCTAGAATTATTACTCGTTGACGGAATTGTTGTATTAATTTATAACTTGAGAGGAGAGATGCGAGGAGATGTGAGAAACTTAATCGGCAGAGAGGGTATTTATAACCATATAAGGCGCGGTACCTACACTGCGCTATATGATAAAAGATATAACGCGGACTAGAGACCGCGTTAAATATAATTCACCCCCACGTGACGTATAGCGCGGCTCCTGATCCGCACTATACCCCTACGTGGCGTATAGCGCATATCAGGGGCCGCACTATACCTACGTGTAATTCATGTCAGCGTATAGCGCGGTGCAGGGGGCGCGCTATACCCCACGTGACGCCAAATCAACACATAGCGCTGTTTAGGAGGCGCGCTTTACTGCTACGGATGTTAGATCAGAAAATATAATCTGACCGGTGTTAGATCGATAAATATACCAATCACCGATGATTTTTTTTTGAAAATACACCTAAGATGTATCAAATAATTATATAATGATGATGATGGGAAAGGACAATTTTGGTGAAACGACAGAGGAGGTGATGATTATGGGCATGAGATGTTTTATTTAAATTTGGTTTTGATGAGAGTGGATTTGATGTTTTATCGTTTATTCATAAATATATTACTTTTAGTATTAAATTAAAGGCATTATTGTCCCATCACCGACGCTCTCAAATCGTGTCGTGAACAACCAAACAACAAATCAATGATCATCTTGTTTTTCTTTTTTTTTTTAATTATCGGTAATAAATTTATTGATTGACTATTTTAATTTGAGTTTTGTAATAATTTTTTATGCTGATGGGTTTTCCAAGCCAATTTATTTCACTTGAAAGTGTCGGAATTTAAACTTTAAATTTTACTTAAAAAGGTCATTACACTGTCTCATCAAACCAAATGATTATGGATAATGATCCGTCCTTCTTTCGATCTATTTTACAATAAACAAATTAAATGCAAATTCAAAGATATTATTAGGTCAAAGAGGTAGTAGTGGAAATGATATTAAAATAAATAAATATAGACAACGGAAAAGCACAAATATAAAGAAAGCCGAACAGTTATTGGGAAATAGAAATCAATTTCACCTGCTCTTTACCACCGACATTAATTTATGAATTTTTAATACCAGTGTATAAAATTATAATCTGTATACTTGACATCACAAACAAGTAAAGAACCAAACCCTTGTATTCTCATGTAAAAGCCCCTTGGTCGATGCAAGAGCCACTCTTCTTCTCCACTTCTTTTTTGTGGGTTTCTTCCTTAGCTGGGATTACACTTTACATTACTTCAAAGTATTGTACTGGAACATGGCCACTAAGGCCAACTACCATCACCAAAGCTCAATAATCAACCATTACTAATAAGGCTGAGGATAAACATTCAATTGAACCAAGTCAAAAAATTACATATCACTCGACTCAAACATAAAAATCAATCCACAAATTATTAAAGTTTTCAAATTATTCGAATTCTATTTTATAACTTAGCTTGAATTTAATTTTTTTTAAAGTCGAGTTGAATTTATACAATTACAAATAAAGTCAAAATTTTACTCGCCCTTCAATATTGACTCCTATGGCAACCAGGCCCATTAACAAATTATTGTTAAGATCCAATTTAAGTGCTATTATCAATTTAGGTCCAATTAAGGTCATAACCTTGTACCTATTAAATCTATGATATTTTAATCATTTTAAGCCTCAAACTCTATCCTAGGCTCGTAATAATGCATTAGGGAATAATCCACGAAAGATCATGAACATATAATAATAATAACAATAATCAACATAAGATTAGTATATGTATTTGTGAATAATTCGGGCCTTTAAATCCAACTAATTAATTGTATGAATTATCATCATTCATACATAAACTATTATTTAAACATTATAAATTATCACGTTAATACCATAAGCTGTCACGTTAAGATCATAAATTACCATATTAACACAATAGATCACCATGTTAATCTAATAGACAATCACATCAACATAGTTAAATGCTATATCAGCACATAGCAGTGAACATTTTTCATCGATCGAATAAAATAGTGACACAAATCGAAAAAATCAAAGGTTAAATTGAGACAAATAAAAGTAGGAGCCATATTACCGATTTAGAACGGCTATGAGAACAAAATTATCTCTTAAACCTAATATACATGTAAATTTCTCAAAAATATCTAATGAAAGTAATAACGAACTGAATGAAAGTTCCGAAGAAATATTGAACCAATCATTTTTGAAGGACGTTAAAGGGTGCTTCGTCTTCCAAAAATTAGAGTGCCCTTATCTATTAAAAATCAGAAAATTCAAGAAAGAATAAAAATAAAAAAGAGCATGAAAAATTTTGGGCCCTTATATTGGTTGATGTTCATTGCAAAACCCTAAATGGATAAATTAAAAAAAAAATAAAAATATTTTCAAAGGTTTAGGGTTAGATTTAATTTAAAAACAGAATAATGGCCAAACAAGACTTAAGAATTGTTTGTTTACTTCAAAATGATTAAACGCTGAATGATTCAGAAACTCTGTATGAATTAACTCTGAATGTGACATGCTGTTTGATAATGACTCTGAATAATTCAGAATATACTTCTGTGCTGAATCATTCAACACTGTTTTGCTGAATCATTCAACACTATTTTGCTGAATCATTCAGAGGTGCGAAACAAATACGTTGAATGATTCCATTAAGAGGCAAACAAACAACCCCTTAGTCCATTAGATTTTTAATTTTATTTGTATATTTTATATATTATAATGAGTAAGTTGATACATTTAATGATAAAAGGGCCAAATTGTTCCACTCCCTGTAATACAAAACAGGGGTCTCCAAAGTACATTCATCAACAATATAGACACCTCATCTATTTATATATATATATAACTATCGACATCCAACCTATTAGTTAACTAATCTAAATAAAAAACTGCAATATCTATTATATGAACGACCATCCCAACTCACATGATTTGAATTCTGGACGTTGTTCTACGTTTCATCCCGCTAGACCGACTATAACATTTGAGCTTAGTCCACTTTTATAGACAAAACATGATACCATATGAACAAATCCAGTCTTCTCAGCAATCAACTTACATCCAATATGCATAATTATTATACTCACTATATGCATGGTCTCTGGAAGTGTAGAAAGAACATCTAAAATCGAAGGAGTTCCACAGAATCTAATCCACAGAGAATTACTACTACCAAAAAAAAAACTCGGATCATACACACCTGAAAGATGTGTGAAAGGGAATCAGGTGACGGGAGGTCAAAGAAATAGGGTATCAAGGAAGGTGGACATAGTCCGGTAAACTAATCAGGAAAATGGTCATATCTGTCCAGTAATTTTTTACTTCCCCCATAATATAAACTTACTCAGGCACAAATTTCCGTCCATGTTGCAAGCAACATAAACAAGGACGATACAACCATCAACCGATAATTCATATATCAAAAACATGTTATGATCTCAAGAGGTCCCAATGACAACTGCACCGAGAATTACTACCGACATTAACAAGTAAAACCTTGTCACGTGGCCAAAATAAAAAGGAAATACACTGATTACATTGTCATACTTAATGAACACTAAAAATGGGCAAAAACATGTTGTCAACATTACCTGCTACTTTAATATTTGTCATCACACATACCACATCATTGATCAGAACTCCATAAAAAATCCCCCCCATCCTCTGAAAACAAAAGGGTATTATATATATATTATAGACAAGGCTACTATGTTTCTTAAATATGTTATATATACACATTTCAGGGTACCATAAAAAATTAATTGATCTTATGTTAAAGCCATAATGCAACATAACAAATCAACATTATCCCTGCTTCCATATTCTCTATCACAATTCCTTCAAGTGTTATAGTCTTTCCCTCAAATAGACTCACAACCATGGCAGTTACTATCAACTATCAGAAAAAAAATGCAGAACGTTTTATGAACAGGTGGTCAATAAGTAAATGTTTTCTTCGTCTAGAAATATGAGTCTGGCCAAATGGTTAGGTCCTTTGGCAGGGATGAGAAAGAAGTTCGAATCTCCTAGACTCATCTTTATTAAATAAAGACAATGTGGAAAAGAAACTAAAATCCAGAGAAGAAGTCGTATTCAAGAAAGTGTAAGCACCATCCCTGCTCTACGATCCTAAATTCCAATTCCAACAATCAATGCAGTGTTTCACTCTGCAACTGAATTGCAATCCTTACATGAACTATTAGATACTCAAAGCTAATACACACGTCTTTATAAATAACAATACCATTAATTATTCTTGTTTTGCACCTTTCTGAGATAAGAACCACCCGCAAACACAAAGAAAGCAACTTGCAAACTGTCTAAATATCTCAATCTACCAAACAGAAACGTCTTAACATCTCCACAGGCTAACACAACTGAAACATCGATTATTCTTCCCCTAAACAACAGATATTTTCCCAGAACATACAGAAAGAACTGACAGAGTAATGTTTCTATAATGTTCCCTTTTTCTAGGGATACCAAACAAATGCATTGGCATATTGATACGGAGCCAATAACCCAGAGTTTATTTTCAATTTCTTTTGAACATCACTCAATTGGTTAAGCAAATTAAAATCAAAATCCAATAAGTAAATATTAAATTACGATCACAAATAAGTCACCGACTTTCATCATCATCGAAAGCACAAATTCAACTGAAAAAAAACCTTCAACAGAGCCCTTTTTTATTAGAGCTACACGTTTTATCAACAGCAGAAAATATCAAGAGTTTGCACAGATCCATACCCAACAGAACCATATTGAAGTTTAAGCAGAAGACATCTCAGTCAGATGAAGACGAGGAGGATTCGGCGGCGAGTTTTTCGAGGGCTTTTTGATGTGCCCAAGTCTCGATAGTAAGATCGGGCTTGGCATTGAGGCCGACACCAAGGATGACAATGGTGAGGAAGCTTGTAACATAGCAAGGTAACTCCCAATCCTCCCATTTGCGGGATTGGCCAGGAGGTAGCGGGGTCCGGTTGAAGAGGTAACCATTGGGTCGGTCCTGGTGGCCCGAAGAAGTCCAGCGTCTTGGACCGGCATGGGAAGAGAATGTGCGGGAGAATAGTCGTTGGCGGAGCAGGTTGACGGAGGCCATCATTGTGGTGGCTGAACCTGAAGCCTGAGAATCAATTCAGGGAAAGAGAGAAGTTGGGGAGGGGATTTTGTTTGGCTTTGTAGAGAAACAAGAGCTTCCATCTACACGACGTCGTCTTTTTTTTGGGCTCTCACTACTATCCACACCAGGCCCATGGGAAGCGGCGAATATTTTATTAATATAATAATGATTTATTTAGTCCTCAATATTTATGTATTTTTCAATTTGATATTAATCTTAAATAAATAAATTTAACCTTCTACATTTACGAGATCTATCAAAATAATATTGCAAAAAATCAAAACATAAATATCTATTTATTTTAAAAAAGACATAATGTCTAAAAGATACTAAAAATATTTGATTAAATAGTGGTTTTGATTTTTTTAATGAATTTTATCATTCGATATTTTATTTTAAGGTAAAAAGGCCCTTCAAGTTTAACAAAATAGTAACTTTAATTATTATTTTTTATTTTAGAATATTTTAACTCTCAACATTTTATTTTAGAATAAAAAGATTTTTGGAGTGTTAATCGTTAGTTGATTAATTGTTTTCATGCATAGAGAGACCTTTTTATCTTAAAATAAAATGTTAGAGTCAAAATAATCTAAAGGAAATATGAACCATTGTTACTATTTAGTCCAACAAGCATTTACTTTATTATGTCCTATTTAAATTAGAAAAATACTTGAAAAGTGTTTTGCAGGGTACTCGACAAACATTTCCTAATTTCACCAAATACCGGATAAAAATATCCATTGCCAATGCCATCTCTATATTTACACTTCAAAGAATAGTCATCGTTTTAGAGATGATCTCCATATCACCCGACTTAGAAAAAGGGTTTTTGCTATCCTCTTAGTTTCTCTGCTTCATCCTGTACTCCGAGCCTCTTGACCTCATGCAGTCATTCCCTGCTTTTGTTTCGAATCCGCTGACCTCTTCAAATTTCATTGACAATGTTTCTTAGCAGGCAAGGACCCTTCCTGTGAACTATCAGTTGGCCGAAATCGTTTTCGGCTTTGAGAACTTCAGACATCACCAGTAGTCTCCACAGGAACAAACTCCCTTCGAAATATGGTGGAACCGGTTCTTGTCCCTCAAGTAAACTTCTCTCAGATACATCTTGGAAACAAACTTGGCAAAGTTATGGCAATCAACGCAAATCCGGAGGTTTTTAATGACACGGAGCGAGGTTCTATCCGAGGTTGAAATCAAGCCAAAAGTCAATGCCAATTTCTCACTGTGGCCTAGTAGTATCTTCTCCTTCTGCTCGTCATCTACATCGTGTAAAGAACAACTTAAATCAGGAACATAGCCAGCTTCCTTGAATTTGATTGATAACTCTTTCAGCTTCGCAAACACCTCTTCCCTTCTTGGATGCGAACGATCACTTGCATGGAAGGAATGGAGGGTTTGGTCAAGCTCAATCCAACTTCTTCCGGGATCTTTCTTTACAGCTTTCTTCATCATCAAATCTCTCACCATTCTTACATCTTCCCATCTCCCTGCAGAAGCATACAGATTAGATAGAATAACATAGTTTCCAGCATTTTCGGGCTCAATTTCTAGCAGACGACGGCCTACAAATTCACCAATGTCGAGATTTGAGTGAACCCTACAAGCACCTAGAAGTGAACCCCATAGAGCAGCAGTTGGTTCAAAAGGCATCTTTTTAATAAATCCAAAAGCCTCTTCTACTCTACCAGCACGACCGAGCAAATCCACAACACACCCATAGTGCTCAATGTCAGGCTCAACCTCATCTTTCCCATTTACCATTTCATCAAAGATTTTCAATCCCACATTTTCCATCGCTCCATGGCTGCAGCCAGACAAAACACCCAACAGAGTGATACTGTCGGGTTTTATTTTATTTTCATTTCTCATCAATTTGTAAAGCTCCAAAACCTCTCTTCCCATCCCATGTTTGCTGTACCCCACAAGCATTGCATTCCATGAAATAACAGTTCTCTCGGGCATGTTATCAAATATCCGTCTCGAGTAGACGAGGTTCCCACACTTTGAGTACATGTCGATCAGAGAATTCTGAAGTACCACATAAAAGGGCAGATTACATCGGAGTACATGGTTGTGAACTTGCTTACCAATATCTAATGCTGCAAGCCCAGATAACGCAGTTAGAACACTAGCATAAGTAACATAATTTGAAGTCATTCCTTCTAAATTCAATCTTCGGAATAGTTCTAATGCCTCTGCATCTAACCCTAATTGAGCATACCCTGAAATTATGGCAGTGCATGAAACAACATCCCTTTCCGGCATGCTTTTGAAAACCTCTCTAGCCTCATGAATTCTACCAGCTTTGGCATACATGTCAAGGAGTGAGCTCCCAACAAATATATGAGTGTCAAGAGTTCTCTTGATTACAAGGGAGTGGATTTGCCTTCCCAGCTCAAAACCAAAAATACCCGTACAAGAAGAAAGCACGGTGGCGAAAGTAAATTCATTTGGTTCTGTAACTGCAACAATATACCAAATCAAAATACGTGCCAATCCTAAATAAGATTGTTCATGTAAATTTACGTTAGAGATTACCATCTGTATTAGCTCACGTTGTTTCAACAGATTTTAGAGCGATAGTTCCGTATTACAATATAGAAAACAATTCTAAACCATGAAAATAAAGAAGAAAAATGTCAATTAATTGGACTCAAATTTAGCAAAATTTTTATAGAAGCATGTTAGCTGCAAATACCTGATCTTAACATCTGTAAAAAAAGATCCAACGCTTGAGAGGCAAACCCTCTTTGAGAATAAGAAGAAATCATAGCAGTCCAAGAAACCACATTCCTCTCAGGCATTTCGTCGAGCACATTCCTTGCCTCCCTCAAACGATCACATTTACTATAAAAAACGATCATCCGGGTTCTGAGGTAAACAGGAGGTAAATATTGTGTTTTGATCATATGGGCATGGACCCTTTGGCCCTCTCTAAATGCCCTTCTATTTATACAAGCGTTTAACAACATATCGTAGCCTTCAAACTTCATTTCAAGGCCTTGAGCCGCCATTTCTATCAAAGCTTCTTTCAGCAGACCATTGGAGCATAAGGTGGTCAAAAGAATTTGTGGGTTTTGAGGGAAGGTAGTGACAGGTAGGTGGTGAGTGGTACAGGAGTTGAAGAAAGATAAAAATGATGCATTTTTGGGGTAATAATGGAAAAGGCACTTCATTTTCCCAAGTAACTTCATCTTCCAAAACTATACCTCAAGTCTTCAATCACATTTATATATGACCTTTACGTGGGGAAAAGGTGGCAAAGCTGCATATTATGCCGCTAAAAAATAATTTTCTTGTGAAAGTACTAAATAAGATTTTTTTAGGTTCAAATTTCTCCTCTTCAATATATATTAAAAAAAAGGTAAAATATAGAAATAGTCTTCCGACTAAATGTCATTGTTTTATTGAGTCACTTGACTATTAAATGTTATAAAAATATCCCTTAATTATAGGGTAATATTTTGTTGAATCCCCCAGTTATTAAAAATTACAAAATAGTCATCCAACTATTTATATGTTTCAAATTCATCATTGTTGATTGTGATATGATAAAATCTGATCCTAAATTCTCAAAAGACTATACAATTCAAATGGTTTTGGGATTATATTTTATTATATCCAAATCAACATGTTAACGTCTAGTTCAAGGGACCATCAATTTTTAATGGATAAGGATGGTTTTGGGATCATATTTTATTATATCCAAATCAACATGTTAACGTCTAGTTCAAGGGATCATCAATTTTTAATAGATAAGGACGAGTTTGGAATATAAGAATAGTCAAGCGACCATTTAGTAACTTTCAATAGTCGAATGACTCAAAAAGCAACGCCCAAGGAATTATTTTGTAATTTTTAATAGTCGAATGACTCAACAAAATAACATCTTATAGTCAAGGACCATTTATGTAATTTACCCTAGAAATACAAATTTCTAACATAATCAATTAACTTCATAAAATACTTCTTATGGAAAAAAAGTTAAAAATAAATAAGTATACTAGTCAATTGGTGAACACCATCCAAGGCATACTCTCTATCAATTACTCCTGCGAGGCTGCGAATCAAGGTAAATTGATTTCATAGCACACAAGTTTCCCAAAGGAGAGAGTAAATCGATAATTTATTTCAAATTGCTTATAGCTGATACAAGAGTTAACAAGCCAAACTACATCTTCAAAGGCAGCGTCTACATATTCATTTCGCGTAAACAATTATGAATTCAATTTCTTATTTTGAGTATCCCTTCTCTGTGTATAAACCGGAACGAAAGTTAATCAATGAAATGTTATCCACGGTTGAGGGGAACTCCAAAGGATTATCTCATTGCACAGTTCGTCCATCCAACCATCTCATGTTTACATTCTCAAAATCCAAACCATCAATATGTTCCATGATAATCCCGGCTATGCTGTGTTTTACAAGTCCCTGACATCCGGGCCTGTAGTCGATCAATCCGCCTTTGTAATTTGTCCATCGTCTATAAGTTAGGTTGATGTTTATGAATCTCAAATTCCTTAGCAATCCACCTTTGGAACCTGATAAGAAGATACCATTTTGGGAATTTACAGTGATGTTTACGAACTCACTCAGCGGGTCTCTCCCAGAGTCACTCGTTGAGCTTAGAAGCTTGACAGGGACCCTGAACTTGTCTTACAATAAGTTCTCCGATGAATTCCGGCTTCTTATGGTGAGTTCCCATTTGGGATAAGCTTGGATCTGAGGCACAATAATTTAACAGGGAAAGTCCCTCAAATTGGTTCTTTGTTAAACCAAGGACCCACGGCGTTTTCAGGAAACCCTAATCTCTGTTGGTTCCCGTTGGAAAATCTTTATCCTGATACTCAAAATCCCAGAGCTGTTCTAAACGACGAAGAAAACCCAAAACATCCAAAGGGTCTTAGCCCTATTTTTTATGATGGTAATGAAGAGAGACGCAAGGAGAAAAATGGGTCGGTAGCTGTTCCTTTGATCTCAAGTGTTTCAGTGGTAATCGGAGCGGCTTTGGTATTTGTGTGGCTGTTTCGGAGGAAATGAAAAACCAGGGAGGATAAAACGAGGAAAAAGAGAGAGGCGGAGGACGTTGACGAGGAAGGACAAAAGGGCAAATTCGTGCTTGTTGATGAAGGGTTTAATTTGGAATTAAAAGATTTGTTGAGAGCATCTGCCATGCATACATCTTGACAATGGAAACTTAAAATCAACAAAAATCCTTCTTGTCGATGAGCTCCAGCCATACATCTCCGGGTTTGGACTTACTCGCCTTGTCTCTGAGACTTCCAGCTATTGTAGTTCAATAACCAAAAGGCTGAGCTCAACTCAAACCATTGCAACCTCTGCAGTGGGGTCAAGAATTTCAAGTCCTAATTCTTATCTGGCACCTGAAGCTTGAGAATCTGGAAGCAAGCTCACTCAGAAATGTGATGTATACTCCTTTGGAATTGTGGTATTGGAGATTTTAAGTGGTCGGGTGCCCGCCACTGGACCAGAAAATGATGAGAAGAGATTGATAGGCCGTGAAAGCATTCCAGGAGAACCGTCCACTGTCTGAAATCCTAGACCCAACACTTCTAACAGAAGTTCACGCAAAGAAGCCAGTGCTTGCTGCATTTCACATTGCACTCAATTGCACAGAACTGGACCCGGAGTTGCGCCCTAGGATGAGAACTGTATCGGAAATTCTCAACGGTATCAATATCAATCTGCTATAAAAATATGTCTGCTGGAACTACTCTTGGTTTATGGAATCCTAGGATGCAGGGTCAGTTTGATGCGAGTGGTTGGATTATTTGATGTAATCAAATGCAATTTTCTTAGAATTGTTTTGGTTTGTCAAAATTCAAATGCTGATCAAGGAAGGATATCCGGTGTATATTCAAAACTACTAGAAGATACTGGAGAAGTCAGAATATTGGAACTTGATTTAGTGCTTCTATTAGGATGAAGAAGAAAACAAGCCATGAGTATGAAAAGGCCCTCATTGATTATTGCTTTGAAAAGCCATGAGTATGAAAAGGCCCTCATTGATTATTGCTTTGAAAAGCCATGAGTATATTCAAATCCTACTTTACCCAAACTTTTAATAGGGTTGTGTACTTTTTCCGAACAATATTATAGGAAAAGGCAATATGGTTATTAGAGTTTAAAATTTATATATGTATAGGTTTATATTTTATATGGTATAAAAAATAATCAATAATGATTGTGAATAAATAAATAACTATATTTCATGTTAAGTCATTTTTTTGAGATTGTTGATTGATAATACATCAAATATTAACTCTATATATTCAATTTTCAAAAAGTTTTGGGGCAATCTCCCGCACTTATGAATTACAGAAATGGAACCTAAATTAACATATCAAAATGTTTGGCCCAAAAAAACAGATGGGGCTGGTGGGAGGATCATGCGCAGCAACCAGTTTTACTTGGTGTTTGCATGTCCTGATTGGGAACAATAATCCTGGTTCCCTTGAGAAGAGCAGCATTGCCATTGGGATCTAGCTCATCATTAGCAGTGAGTGCTTTCTTGCTGATTATTCGATATATCTGTGTTAGAACTGTGAAAAATGCGGTCTCAACGTTGGTAGATTCAAGAGCCGATGTCTCCATGAAGAATAGGATCTCCCTTTGAGCAAACTCTTTTGCATCTTCAGTTGGTACTGCTCTAAGGTTTGCCAAGTCACACTTGTTGCCAATACGAATGATAATGATGTTCGTATCAGCATGTCCCCTCAATTCCTCCAGCCACCTTGCCATGTTGTCGAATGATTGTCGCTTTGTCATGTCGTAAACTAACATTGCTCCTACTGCTCCTCGATAGTATGCACTCGTCACAGCCCTGTACCTGATTCGTCATTGGAACGTGAGCTACAAAAGCTGTACCATGCACTCAAAGGCATTGATTTTCCAGCCAAAGTGAATAATTCATCGATGATCAAGAGATGCACAGCCAGATACAGATAAAATTCAAGCGCGCATGCATGCATGCAAACATGTAATGGTATATAACATCCATGTAAGGAAAAATGCGCCTACTAATACATGGTACATTCATCCGTGTGCTTGTGCCAAAACACATACACAAAAACAGCAGATAGCTATAACGGTGGCAGGGAACAAAATATCCGGCACAAATGTTGAGTTGCTTATCTCAACTTTTGACACTTTTAAATGGGTTTTCGATGTAGATGAAAAAATTCTTGTGGGCTTGAGGCTATGAAAGAAGAAAACATATCAATTCAAGTATCATTTCATGGTCCTATCTTCTATAACAAGACCAAGTAAATATTTTCTATGCTTGGAACTTTTTAAGAGGATTACTCTAATCATATCTTCTAACCGGCGCATTACCGGAGGAAAATAAACTATACATCGAAACTACAGTTTACAACTGAAACAAAATACCATTTGGAAAAAAAAGATCATGACCAGGGTAAAGAAGAAAAAGAGTAAACCTGAAGCAGAATAAGGGTGGTCATAGATGACGAAGATTATATGCTGGTTAGAAACTGATAATGCAAATAAACAGAAAGAGAATGTACCCTATGTTGCTAGGATTTGTGTATGTGTGTTAGACACGAATACATCTATAGGTATCGAATTCATCAATTTAGTTAAACTCAAGATTCGGGATATGGCACAAATGAATTTGTAAGGAATCGTTTTGTATGTAATTTAATATAATATATAGATTTAATTTCATAACAATCCATCGTCTCAAGTCTAACTTTAATGTTTTACTGGTATGTAAAACAGTAAAAGACAGACTTGGAATGTTATACTAGCAGACGAACTTATAACATTTTATGAGCAAAAATAGATTATCAATATAAAATATATGATAATTTCAAATTTTTAAACTTTCTTTTTCTATTTAATTCTTTATGGGAGGAGGCCAACGTTCATGTCACTAAAAAGGCTTACATATCATTAAATTTTACTTGTCGTTTAAAAATTGATAATAAGTTTCTTAATTTCTTAGTTAGGAAATAATTAGACTTGGCCTACCTAATACAAATATTCCAAGGATGTATAACATGATTCTGTTGTTGAGATTTTCGACTCTAATTCTCTATTTCCAACAAATGTAAGAACTATGCAAGCTCGCTCAGGAAAATAAATGAAAATTTGAGGGGGGAAAGCAAGAGTCGTACCTTTCTTGGCCAGCTGTATCCCAAATCTGCGATTTAACCGTC